ATAAAATCAATTAAAATACAATATAAAAACAATCTTAAAAATAATAAATAAATTCCAAGAACGATGGAATTGGCGAATAACTCGGGAGTGACATCAGGGTGCCAGCCACCCCCAGGATTGATTAAAACTCTTATCGCCCCATGTGAGTCAGCAGAGCCAGGTCTTAAGCCCTTTCCAGAAAGCTGGGAGGGTGGGAGCCCGCCTCACCTCTGGAGGGAGAATATTCCAGAGGACGGGCAATGGCAGAGAAGGCTCTCCTCCTGGGCTCCGCCAGCTGACATTCCCTCACTGATGGGGTCTGCAACATGCCCTCTCTGCCTGACCGGGTGGGACGGGTTGATGTAATGGGGGTGAGACGGTCCTTCAGGTAACCTGGACCCATGCCATGTTGGGCTTTAGCAGCCTCAGAGATGATCCATTCCTTTCATTGTGAATCTGGATGTTTGTGACTCTCTATAGCTTTCTTGGCTGCTGAAAGAAATTTGCACTGTTTTCCCCTAGCAGAAGCAATACTGAAGGGAACACAGTGAAACCTTTTTGTTTAATAACTGATCTCTGTTTGTGCCTGTCAATTTATCTTAGAACTTGTGTGTGAACGAAGAGGTGCGGTGCCTGGGAGCTGTCCAGCTCATCAATGATCGTTGTATGGAGATGCAGAAGAATAAACGTGGTATGACAGTGAATCCTGATGGATCAGTGGAGTCTGTAATTTAAATGGTGCTGAAGCAAAGTAAATGGAAGCTGTGTGTGTTCAGATGATGGTGGTAACAATTTTCAACAACAGGAGGGAACTGCAAAACATTTTATAACCTGCATTGCTTCTGTTCAGGGTTTCAACCAGCCAATTTCCTATTGTAAGATACTTCATTTGGTTCTCCTTCTTTCTTAGTTTTCTGTTTTTTCTTATCCCAACAGTAAATATTCCATGCCATCCAAGTATACTTGATGTTCATGGGATAGATTTGGGGTTTACCCCACCTTAGAAGGTTTTTTTCTTGGTAGTTTGCTAATGTTGGGATTCTTCTGTACCTATGGTTAGTTTTTTTTATAGAGGTATGCAGAATATTTTGTGGTTGAAATATTATGGGTGAACTGTGCTGTTTTGCTTACATTAGAGTCCAGATGGAGATCACTGTAACTAGCAGAAACCAGTAAGCAGTCAGTGGGTGCTTGGATCCAAAGTGTGCAAAAACTTCCCCAAAGTCCCTGTTTGGAGAATGAAAGTGGCTGTTTCCAATGTATTTAAAATGCTCTTGAGTGCAAAACCGAGTATTGTACTTGAAAGAAATTTGTTTGGATGCAAAACTCTTCCAAAATTTTTGAAATAGTCAATTTTTGCACTTAGTACAGTAATTTTGTGCTTGAAATGGAAAGTTTTGTGCTTGAACCAGTTTGAATGGAAGCTTTTCTGTACCCTTAGGCACTAGTATTTGATCTCTTGCAAAGTCAGGAGTACATGAAAATATTTTTTAAAGTACTTTTTTAATTAAAAACCTCAAATGTCATGAAACATTATGTAAGAACACAGTTCCTATGAGATTTGTCTCACAATTTTAGCTATTTTTTAATGTCGGGGTGCCCTGATGCCAAACCTTACTATAGAGAGTAATAATGACTACATTATATTCAGCACATCTTCAAAGGCAATCACAGCAATATGTGTGTTGACTTTGATTTTATCCTTAAAATAATCCCTGGAAACTCAGTTAGTCTGACTTTGGCTGCATTCAGACATCATGCTAAACAATGGGTTGTTTTAACCTTGGGTTTGGGAACAATGGTTTCTAAATGGCTCACACAGATGCACACATGCAAAGCCATAATACATTGTTTGGGAGTTACTGCAGTGAGCAAACCCTCTGATAGTTGGCTCACGTTACTCTTGGCTTGAGCTGAATCTTCCTGCTCATATCCAGCCCATGCTGGTTCAGTGATGGCTAAGACTGTGTACATTTTCAATACTAGGAAAAAGGGCAAACAAGCAAAAAAGTGTGCATGGTACCATAGAGGCACTCTGAAGCCTGGCTGAGGCTGATGGGACTTGGAGTGTAAAACACATACTATCTCAGTTGGGGAAAAGGATGTTCCACATACCCTGATCACAGTGCTGGCTTAACAGGACGCTGCATAGCTCTGAAAGCTTTCCCCTCTGATGATTTGCCTTCAGAGAAGAATACAGGAGCAGAGACCGAGGGCAAGAAGAGACGTGTGAGCCGAACAGTATGTCCATTTAGTGCCTATGAGCATCTGCAGCTGCTTCGGGATGAAGTTCTGGTAGAGGTGAAAGATATAGAGCAACTGGTGTCTCTGGGGAAGGAAATGAAGGCCTGCCCTTATTACGGAAGCCGATACGCCATCCCAGCTGCTCAGGTAGATATTTGTGGAACTCCCCTTGGAGCTTTGCTGACGTTTGAAAGCGGTCTCATTTCCTTCATCTGTAGCCTTGTATCCTTTCGCTAAACCACTCTGGGCTGATCAGGCTGTTGCTTTTTCATGCCTCAAAATGCTGACCAACTATGCTTGGGGAGAGAAAGCATGTTTGAGGCTTAACTGCCTCCTAGTTTTCTTCCCCCCCCCCTTGTAAATATTCCTTCTTTAGGACCCTTTACATATTCTTTGTGATCACCTGGGTTTGCTTTGAAGTTACATGCAATAGGAATGTAAGTTGTTGCTCATTTTTTAAGGAGTAAATAACATATTTGCCCCATCACATCACCGCGTCCCACCCAGTCAGGCAGAGAGGACATGTTGCGGGTCCCGTCAGCGAGAGAGTGTTGACTGGCATGGCCCAGGAGGAGAGTTTTCTCTGCCATTGCTCCCGCCCTTTGGAACATTCTCCCCCCAGAGGTGTGGCAGGCCCCTACCCTAACGCGCCTCCAGAAAAAAATTAAGGCCCCGCTCCGCCCGGCTG